GCCTGGGCCTGTCATGGGCACCAGGCTCCCCCCGGGGCCTGCTGGGGGTCTGGCGGTGGTGGGCTGGCTCGGGTGGCTCCACCCCATGCAGGCGGTCCCCCACGCCCCAGGGCTTATTATCATGGTAGAGGCCGAGGCATGCAGAGAGGGGGCTGCAAGGCTCTGGGGCCTCCCTGCGTCCGGCACAACCCCCCTTGCCCTGCGCTCTGCAGGCCCGGGCAACCCCAGGGTCTGCCCCGGGTCAGGGATGGGCACCAGCACCACCCCCTCGTGGCAGAAGCCAGAGGTCACCCTGCAAGCAGGGGTGGGGAACCTCAACCTTGTTCCACACACCCTGCTGCAGAGTTCAGCACCTCCGACGGGGAGAGCCATCGGGGGCCTGTGTTGGTGCAGGACGACATCGGATTCGTTCTCGGGGAAAGAAACCAGCCGGTTGACTTGCATCCCCGGTGTATAGGGGCAACAGCCCTGACCTACTGCGCCGTGTTCCGTCTCGCCCCGGGGCCCGTCACCCGCTCCGTCAGGCAGAGGCCGGACCCGATGAGCCGGGCCGCCTTCTCCTCCAGACGGGGCGGGGGCTGCTCCAGAGCCAGACGTCCCCACGGGAAGGCCGGACAGGATGCTGCGGCCTGGTGGTCTGGGAGACATCAAGAAACTGAAATTCCGGTTGCGGCCTACATTGACCCAATCCGGGGGGTTGGGGCATAGATGCTACAAGAGGAGGAAAAAAAAAATTAAAAAGAAGGAAACTCCTGGATAGAAACTTTTCTAATAAAGCACTCACAGCTTGATACGCAGACACCGCTACCTTGCGCGGAGCGGCCGCCGCCGTCTCCCAGGCCGCTGGTGCGTGTAAACAATGTAATATAGTGATTCAATTTTCTAAGAATCCGTTAGCAATTAAACCGAGAATGTTTGGGAAGAGATATCAAATTCTAAAGAGAATTGCCATTTAAACTTTCACTTTTCTGAGCAACAAAGGGATAATGGGGAACAGCTAGGAAGTTTCTCGTGAATTTCAGTGAGGAAATTATAAAAATTGAGGTCAAATGCCCTTTGGGATTCTTTAAATGAATCCGTGACCTTGATACGCCGGCAGAAAGCGTCAAGGGCATTAGGCCTGCCTTACGGGGCGCGCATCGGCTCTTGTCCCGATTACCGGAGCCGAGGACATCCAGGAATCCGTGGCACGTTGGTGAGGGGTCAGCGGGAGCGCCGTGTGGTCTAGGCAGATGGTTTCAGAAATGCGGACCACGCACCGCAGGGAACTACGCACGAGCATCCGCACCCGGCGATGCCCCGTGTGCCTCATGGTGTGTCTCACACGGGGCGCGTCCGAGGCCCCAGGGAAAGGCGGCGAGCACTGTGTCTGGAGTCACCCGCCAGGTTCAGAATCTTCCAGAAACTGCAACCAGGAGCTACAGGAACATAGTCTCAGGCTCACGGTGGTTGTTGGAGAAGCCCGGGGCCTCTCCCAGCCCGCGTGCACCTTGCCCCGAGTGCCGCACCGTCGGGCTCCGGACCCGAAGCCAGTGTCGGCCTCGCCAGCCCCAGGATTGCCCGCGGTGCCTCAGACCTCAGAACGCCCAGCCCAGCTCGAGCTCCAGGAGCTTCCATAAACCCCTGGGTGCCCTCTCCTTCCGCCAAACCGGCCTGACCGGCTCGTCCAGTTTTTCCAGGTTTTGTGCGCCCATAAACACGATGGGCATCTTGTCAGGCAAGTGCTCCAGAATGTAATTAAGTGCGGTGGAAATTTGCTATTTGAGTGACTGTCAATGACTTAAGCTTGCACACGCCAGAGGTCAACAATTTATTCCGAACCGGGTTGATTGAGGTCAATTCATGGAGCCTTGTGTGTGTGTGTGTGTGTGTGTGTGTGTGTGTGTGTGTGGCCCCCCGCAGGGAGGGCCGTGGCATTGCTAGAAATTCCAGCTGAAGGAGGAAGGCGGACAACATACATTTCTATCAGGAAAAAAAAATTTAATCCGAACATTTAAAATGCTAATAAAAAATTAAAATAAAGAAAAAGGAATAGAGGAAAGTGCAAAGAACAGCTGAGAGGGCCTCGTGGAGAGCGTCTCGGGGTGGACGGCACAGATCGGCGGGGTCCGCTCACACCCCGGCGGCCTGGCAGGAACACGGGGAGCCTGGGGCCGGGGGGCACCCCTGCTTCCAGGCCGCGGGCACAGGCTCCCCCCGGGGAAATGCAATAGCCTCTTGCGGCTTCCCAGGGAAACCCGCTGTTCGCCCCGCGCTCACCCCCGGGCTCTGAGTACGCTCCGTGCTCCCCTCGCAGACCTCTAGGAAGATTCTCCCCGTGTGCTTCCCCCTCCCCTCCTCCTCCTTGCTCCTCAGGGCGGCTCCCCTGACCGCCCAGCAGCCCCCTCACACCTTCCAGCCCCGGGATTCACGCCTTCCTCCTGGAAGCACTCACCTGCCTTCTGTGCCAGGGCCACACAGGAACCAAGCCCCCTCCCCTCTGGCCGCTCCTCGGTCCTCCCCACAAAGCTCCTCCTCCTCCTGCACATGGTGGCCAGCGTCCCCGCGTCGTAGCTCCTCGAAGGTGGGCCCTGCACCCCCTCCTCCCTGCCAAGCAAGCCCCTCCGTCCCGGGGCCTTCGGTCACCACCTACACGCGTGGGATGCGCAGATGTGTACGTCCAGCCAGACGCTCCTCTGCTCTCTGCCCTGCAGCCCCCTCGATCTCGAAACCCGAGTCCGCAAGGCCAGCTTTCCCGCCGCTCCTCACGTGACGGACGGGAGCCTGCCTGACCCGTCCACGGGCTCCGAGGGGTCTCCAGCTGCCCACCCTCCGTTCCGACCCCGTGGCCCTTCTTTGCGTGCCTTCTACAAGCTTCCACACGCCTCTGCCTTCCCAGCCCCGCTGCCACTTGACCTCCCACGGGGGCCTGATCCACGGCGTGCCCACACGTCCTGCGCACGTCCTTCCCTGTGGGCCTGGCCAAGCCCACGGCCTCCTGCGAGCTCTCCCGGCACCGCGCACCCTGTCTTCATCCCCGTCCACCCATTCTCCACCCACAGCCACTGAAGAAGGAGAACCGGACCGGGTCCTCTCTGGTTTAACCCTGGCCCCTGGACCCTGACCTCTACGCAGAAACAGATCCGCGCTGGAGGCTGCCCACGATGCCTCCCCGGCTCCTCCCCAACGTCCCCATGCTTCGGAGCCCTCGCACACCCTGGAACACCAGCTTCAATGTGTAACGAGGGCTGTGCACTTGGGGCTCCGAGCTGGGCCACAGTCCCCAGAGCTCACCCACCTGGCAGCCTGCACACCTGTAACTGAGGACGCCCCCCATTCCTCCTGCCCCCAGCACCCCGGAACCACTGTTTCCTCTGGGTTTCTCCCACTTTGATGATTCTGGGTCCCTCGCGTGGGTAAAACCATACAGCATCTGTCCTCCTGTGACCGGCTTGTTTCGCCCTGCATGGCGTCCTCAAGGGTCATCCGTTCTGTCGCCTACCACAGATCCTCTTTTTTCAAGAGGCCGAATCACGTTGCATAGTGTGTCCACACCGCACCGTCTTCTACGCTGCACTCGGGTTGCCTTCACGTGGCGGCTACGTGAGTGCCGTGGCCGTGCAGCCAGGGTGCACGTTATGTTCCGGAGATCAGGGTTTCAGTTCTCTTCGATGACCACCCAGAAGCAGGACTGCTAGATCATACGGCGATTCTGTTTTTAATTTTCTGAGACGCCTCTGTCGCGTTTTCCATCGAGAAGATGCACCATTTGCATTCCCACCAACAGGGCACGAGGGTCCCGGGAGCTCCGCATCCCCGTCAACACTCATCATCATCAGGTGTTCGAGAAAAGGCATCCTAACAGGTGTGCGCTGTTATCCCGTTTGCATTTTCCAGATGCTCAGTGACGTGGAGCATCTTTTCGTGTACCTGGTGCCTATTTGTACGTCTTCTTGGGCAATATGCCTATTCAAGTTCTTTTAATTGAATTCTCTAGGTTTGTTTTTTTTTTTTTTTTTTGCTATTAAATTGTATGAATTCCCTATGTATTTTGGACATGAACCCTTTATCAGATACACGGTTTGCAAATATCTTCTCCCACTCCGTAGGTGGCCTTCTCACGCTGGTGATGGGTCCCTTTGCCGTGCAGAAGCTTTATAGTTTGATGGAGTCCCATTTACCTATTGCCGCTTTTGGTCTCATATCCAGGAAATCGCGGCCGGAACCAACGACAAAACTTTCCCTTTATGCTTTCTTCCAGGATTTTTACAGTTTCTTTTTTTTTTAATAATTTTTTTAAAATTTTTATTTACTTATGATAGTCACAGAGAGAGAGAGAGAGGGAGGCAGAGACACAGGCAGAGGGAGAAGCAGGCTCCATGCACCGGGAGCCCGATGTGGGATTTGATCCCGGGTCTCCAGGATCGCGCCCTGGGCCAAAGGCAGGCGCTAAACTGCTGCGCCACCCAGGGATCCCAGGATTTTTACAGTTTCAAGTCTTCCACTTCTTAAGTCTCTAGCTCATTTTGAGTTGATTTTCGTGTCTGGTGTAAGGTAGGATCCAACCTCGCTCTTCTGCGAGCGGCCGTCCAGCAGCTTTCCCCGACACCACTTGTTGGAGAGACTGTCCTTTCTCGACTGTGTGTTCCTGGCACCCTTGTCAAAGACCGGGTGGCCTCAGGTGCTTGGGTGCCTCCCTGGATTCTGTTCCGTTCCATCCGTCTCCGTGTCTGTGCTCACACGCTAGCATCACGCTGTTTCAATTACCAGGGCTGCAGGGTTGTGATATATCTTGAAATCAGAAAGCGTGATGCCTCCAGCCTTGTCTTTCTCGAGGTGGTTGCGCTGCTCGTGGCCTTTTGTGCTTCCATACAAATTTTAGGGGGGTTTTCTATTTCCATATAAAAGGCGGTTGGGATTTTGCCTTTGTTTTGTTTTGTTTTATTTTGTTTTGTTTTTCAAAGAATTTTGTTTTATTATAGTACATGAGCTGGACTGATGGGAAAGGGTAGGTGTATGGGCAACCACTGCCCGGATTAGCATCGGATGCCCATCCCGATGGCCATGAATGTGCCAAATGTGCCGCCACCCTGCATCATGGTTTTCCCGATGCCGCCCATCAGCTCCCGACCCCGCATTCCGATCCTGAGACAGGAAAAGGTGCCGAAGAGCGCCCCGGCCGCCATGCCCACTGCGCAACCCATCACAAAGCCCATCTTCACGCGGTCAAAGCAGCTCGGCTGGGACTGTCCGTAGGGCCCCACGGCCACCGGCATCTCGTTCGCGGCTTCGGTCGCTCAGTTCTCGCGGTTGGGATTTTGAAAGGGATCACGTTGAATCTGGAAGACCAGGTTTCAACAACACCAGGTTTTCCAGTCCCGCGAACACAAGATGTGTTTCCGTTTACTTGTTTCTTCTTAAATTTCTCTCACCGGCGTTTTGTGATTCTCAGTGTAGAAGTTTAACCTCCTCAGTTAAGTTTATTCCTGAGTATTTTGTTGTTTTTGTTGCTCCTGCGAATGGGCTTGCCCTCATTGTTGTCTTCTCAGATGGTCCGGGGCCGGTGGACGGAAACAGCAGGTTGTGTTTTTATTTTGTGTCCTGCAACTTTACCGGATTCATTTATTAGCTCTAGCAGGTGCTTGCCCACAGATGACGTCACGCCACCAGCACCAGAGGTGGTTTAATTTCGTCCTTTCCAATTTGGATGCCTTCTACTTCCTTTTCCTCTCCTAACTGCCTCTTCTACATCCTCACCAGAGGGTCACAGTGTCCCTCCCCTGGCCATCCTGCCTGTGGCCTGCCGTCATGCAGCATTCCGTCGTTCCGTAGCACCTGTCCCAGTTAAGCATAATGGCCCTTCAGAGATGTCCACAGCCGCATCCCCAGAGCCTGTAACTGTGTCCTGTTACCGAGCTAGGGAGGATTCCCTACGACAGGGACAGTGTCCTGGGTCACCCAGCGTGGCCTGTGTAATCACAGCATCCTTATAGAGGAGCAGGAGGCAGGAGGGGAGAGCCCAGGGAAATGTGGCTGTGGACGCAGGGCCAGAGGGATGCCGTGCTGCTGGCTTTGCAGACGGAGCAGGGACCCCAGGCCAAGGAGCGCAGGTGCCTGTAGATGCTGGGAAAGGCAGGAAGCGGCCCCAGGGCCTCCGAGGGAAGCATCCCCGCCAGTGCCAGGGCATCAGCCCCAGGATGCCCACCTCAGCCCTCTGACCTCCAGAGCTGTGCCATCGTTAATTCACGCTGTGCAAGCCAGCATGTGTGGCCACTTGTTGTACTGGGAGCAAAAAACACACACCTGTGTGTTCCCTTGCCCTCTCATGGGCAAGCTCTGGGGGGTCAGAACGCCGCCACGTGCCACTGCCCTCACGGAGTCCAGCAGGGTGCCTGGAACTCAACAGGTGCTCAGTCAATGTTGAAAGAATAAATGAATGAAGAATTCCAAAACGACAATTGCTAAGATTAAAAATATATACAAGTGCACGTAGGGATGGCGAAAAAGCATAGGCACTCCAGATTAAAAAAAAAAAAAGAATCAAACTTCTCTTTAAAATGCTTTGTGTATGGGGCACCTTGGTGGCTTGGTGGATTGAGCATCTGCCTTCGGCTCAGGTCATGGTCCCAGGGTCCTGGGCTCGAGCCCCATGTCGGGCTCCTGGAGCTCAGTGGTGCGTCTGTTTCTCCCTCTTCCTCTGCTCCTTCCCCTGCTCATGCTTTCTCTCTCTCTCAAATAAATAAAATCTTTAAAAATAATAAAATAAAATAAAATAAAATAAAATAAAATAAAATAAAATAAAATAAAATAAAATGCTCTGTGTCAGTGAGGTCATTCCCCTTTGTCCCCGGCCCCCATGGCACCTCCTAGGAACGTGGGGCCTCTGAGCCACCCTCTCCACACTCTTCTTCACAAGGGGAACTTCTCGTTCCCACAGAAACAGGCTCACAGGTGCTTTTGTTACTGTGCAAACTGAGCCCCAGCTGCAAGCAGCACCGTGAGCAGGTGTGAGGCAAAGGGAGCCCGCGGCCCGGGAACAGGACGTGCACGATGTGAGCTTGGTGCTATTTTGTCTCTGGCTTCCTCACACGGACAGAAAATCCCAGTGAGGCGTGAGGCGGTGGTTCCTGAACCAGAGACCCCACAGGACTGAGCGGCCCACCGGGAGGAGGCCTTGGGGCCAGGGACAGCTCTGTCCCGGTGCTTCCCCCGCTCACGCCCCTGCTCTCTCCCTCCGTCACCTCCCTCTCTGCCTGCAGGAGACACACACCCCAGGTCCTCGGGGACGACTGGCAAACGCCCTTTGCACAGCCACCGATAGGTGTTTGGCGAACCGTGTAATCAAAAGGCAAGTGCGTAGAAAGTCAGGGGCTGATGGAAAAGCAAAGGAAGTGCAAAAGGGAGACACTTTCAATCCTAAACTCCAGGAAACTCAAGTTAGATGTGTGACTAGATGGACATGACAGAGAAGATTAGACACTGATCTGCTGTGAGGAGCGGGAGAGGGGACACCATGGTGTTTCCAAGGAAACTGGGTGGGGGCCCCGCAGAGACTGCAGGCAGTGGGGGCCCAGGGTGGGCCCTGGGGAAGTGGCGGTTCTGCTGACCTTCAGGATCCCGGGTGACACCTGCCCCAGCTCTCGGGGTGACAAACGGTGACCAAGGGGACATGACAGTCTGTGGACGCTCAGTGCTGTCCCAGGGCAGGGAACAAGGGGCACAGAACAAGGGAGGAAAGATGGTCCCTCGGCGGCCAAAAGGAGGGGGAGACGGACTGCAACATGGACGTGATGCAGCCTTTTGTGGCCGGAGCCAGGCCCGGAGGCCTGTCTAGATGGTGACGGGCTATATGGCCGTCACAGCCCTGGGCTGACCGTTCCCACCTGGGCACTGGCCCTGACGTGTCAGCAGCTTGTGGGAGAGGGACCGGGGCAGGTGCCAGATCGTGACTGCATCTCCTCTCCATGGGTGACACCCCCACCCACCCCCAGACCTTGGGCAAGGCGCCGGGGGAACAGAAGGCCAGGTGCCCGCAGCCCCTCCCCGGCATCCTCAGGCAGCCGTGCACCCCCCCTCCAATGGGGTCGTCATTCTCTGCGGGGCCGTGCAAGCCCGGCCTGGGTTCTGGAGAAGGGGGGTAGAGAGACAGCCCTTGAGAGTACCGTCTCCTTTCACCGGGGAGTCCCCAGGGGTGAAGGGAAGCAAAGCCCAGCCAGCAAATGGTGTCTGGGCGCTCAGCCTGCACCGAGCAGCTCTCAGAAACCGGCAGCGGGTGCGCAGGTGAGGCCGGAGCTCCGAGGCGCTCCCATCCCTCGGCACCTGCTTTCACCCTCGTTGCTTCTCACCTCTGTCGTTAGGTCAAGGCCAACACAGCGGGACAGCGTGGACAGGGCGTGGACCGACGGGGGACATGCGGGGAGGGGCGGGCGAGGGGAAGAATGACCTATGGCCTTGGCATTGGGGAGGGCCATCCTGGATGTTCACAGCCCCGACGGCCACGTGTGCGTCGCAGTAGAGCTGACCTCTTCCATCCTAAGCTCTGGATCTGCCTGCGGGCTGAGTGGGGTGGGACGCGCTTAGTTCTAAAGCCTTCCATCCACCATCCCCCTTCACCCTCTTGTCCCCACCCTCTGGATCCCCCAGCTTCTCCTTAAATGCTGCAGAATTTCCTTAAAATTAGGATTTTCATGTACAGGGCACGACTGTGTTTCTCTGCACTGGATCTAATTCCAGCGCCCACAGACCCTTCGCCAGCCAGCACGGGTCAAGAGCATGTGCCACAAAAAACGCGAGATGGAACGAGGGGCGCCCGGAGCCATCAGCTCCGCCATCAGCTCCGCCATCGTGCAGAATTTGCTCGGTCGGAGCAAGAGGCAGCGAGGCGCCGCACACATCCCGTTACCGTATATGGACAAATCCGCGCTCACTGGGCGAGAGGGCGCTGCTCTCGTTGGAGGAAAGTCTAGAAGAGCACTCAGAGCGCGGGGAGGATGTACAATAAGTAGACCATAATGGGTTGTCCTAATGCTTCAAGGAAATTATTTCAGAGACAACAAGGCTGTAATTTCCAACACAAATCAATGCTCCTTGGGTCAGTCTTAAACACAGTACGCGTGTATAATCTGTCCGAGTGTGGTTTAAAGAAAGACTCTCCCAAAAATAAATGTGTCAGAGATTTATTTAACTCCTTAATGAGAGAACCGCCAAGATGGCTAAGCTGGTACAGAGAGCATTTCGGGAAATGGATGTGTATAAGCAACGGGGAAAGAGTGTTGACACCAGGTTGCCAGGTCAGCGATAAAACTGAAGTGTCCTGCAGGGCAGCGGCACCGTGGGGTTTGCAGTGCCCGTTTCTAAGACTCGGGGGTCACTCGCATCCCCACTGAACAAAAATCTACAAGTTCACGGGAAATTTTGCAAAGTCTTGGCACCGCCCAGCAAATAATGTGTCAAATGTGGATGCGTTCCCTAAAGAATCAGAGAGTCCTCAGTTGGGCCCATTAGGTACTGCTCAAGGATGACGTCAGAAGGACCGTAAGCCGCCTTCGGCTTCATTTACGAGGTTTTCCACAATGAGTTTTCTTAGCAGAATACTGGAAAAGGGAAATAAAGTTACCATTATTTGCAGATGGTATCATTTGCATGTACACAAATCAAGGGAGCCGCAGAGAAACCTTTAGAGCCTGTTGTGGCCTAATTGGTCCCCCTACATTCATCGGTTGACGCTGTGAGCCCCAGTACCTCAGAGAATTGCTGCAAAGAAGTGAGTTGCATGAGGTTGAGTGGGCGGCCACTGATCCATTATGACTGGTGTCCCTGGAGGAGGAGATTAGGACACAGACACAGAGGGACGACCAGGGAGTAGGTGGCCGTCTACACGCCAAAGAGAGGGGCCTCGGGAGGAACCAGCCCTGTCCACACCTTGTGTCCCCAGGATCAAGGGGGCCCCTCACTGCCCTCCCTGGGCTAGTGGCTACGTCCCCCGGGGCCAGCGCCTTCTGCTTTATCCACATAGAGGAGCCGTGCAGGCCCCGGATCAAGGCACCCAGAACGCACACCCCGCTCGGGCACCCCACTAACAAATGCAGAATGCCACAGAGGAGAAGCTGTGCTTATATTTGGAAGGAAAGCCATAAAATATTTGGCAACACGTTTAACAAGAAACATGCACAGTCCTCGTAACAAAAATGATAAAACTTTCCTGACGGACATGGGGGTTTGCTTAAATAAAGATACATCTTGTTTCCGGATGCGAGACGTGCTGGGTAAAGATGTGAAATCTCCCAGGCTAATTATGAAA